GTGACTGGCAACTTGTTCTGCTAGAAGGTCGTCTGTCATTACCCTACCCTTTGGGATACACAGGTAGTCTGTAGCAGCCTATTAGAGCTTAATGATCCAACCAGTACTTAACTTAGTTTGTCTACTTTTACAGACATGAGAGGACATGCTGTTTCTAAATTAGACTCATTTATTTCCTATGAAACACTGATGGACCAAGACCTTTGCTTCATCCTTTGCTGACACATTACCATCTGCACAGCTGAGCAGGTATGAGTGCAGAGAAGAAATCAAGCCAGTCATAAAATAGAAAACTCAGAGCTACCAATTAACTCCTAGAAATTGTGTGCTACTTTTGGACATTGTCCTCAAACACTGTGAGTCAAACACTTCTAATTTTAGCAACCATGATACTTTTCAACTCTGGAATACAAAGAGTGGAAATGCAAAAACGATCAACAATTAATATTAGTTTTTTTTTTTAACTCTGTTGTTTAAAATAATTATTTTCTCTCAAGAAAAGTCCAAAGAAGCCTGAAATGGCAGAGACTGAGGCTGGTAAAAAATTAGAGATCAAGACTAAACAAAGCTGTTGGTGAATTTGAAGAACTTTTTGAAAGTGTTTGAATGTGTAAAATCTAACATAGGGCCAACAAGGAGATAAACCACAATGCCTTTTATACAGTACTGAGCTGAAATGTGAACTCCTGAGATGCTTCACTATGGCAGAAATTCATAGACTCGTAGAATCATAGAATCATTTGAGTTGGAAAGGACCTTAAAGATTATATGGTTCCAACACCCCTGCCACGGGCAGGGACACCTCCCACTAGACCAGGCTGCTCAAAGCCTCATCCAACTTGGCCTTGAACATTGCCAGGGATGGAGCATCCACAACTTTTCTGGGCAACTTGCTCTGGTGCCACACCACTCTTCTCTCAGAAAGTTGATTAATGTCTCTTTGATCAAAGGACATGTGTAGAGAGCCTGACATCAGAATGGCTAAGCAGAAGAGGCCACGATACCATACAGTTGGTAGAAATGTAGGCCTCAAAGGTACTGCAATCTTGTGGTTAATGTTTGCCTCAGGTTGCTTAAGAGACAGGACATATATCTTGCTGAAACAGCACAATGGTAATGCTTGAGCAAGCTGGAACATGTTGAGCATGTTGAGACATGTCGAAACAAGAAGTGGTTTGTGGGTTTTGTTACTTGGAAATTTTTGTGTTAAACATAGCGTAACCAATAATCTCGCTGTATCCTAGCAGATAATGTGTCTAACTCTGTAGACTATAAAAGTTGCTGTGCTTTGCTTAATAAACGAGACTTGCTGACCATGAGAGCATGAGGCTTGTCTCCCGCGACTCCAACAACTGGCGCCCGAACAGGGAATCCGCTGGACAGGGACCCCGCTGAACAGGGACCCCGCCGAACAGGGACCCCGCCGGACAGGGACCCCACTGGGACCTGAACTCTTGCTAACCGACGGAGTTGCGTTGGGTGTGGGTCTCGATTCAGAGACGGCTTCTGCAAGACGGGAGTGCTACATCGGTGGACTACTCGTCTCCTGCTTAAGCCCAGAGTGCTGCATAGGCTGGCTCTGCCGCTACGCGCTGCCGACACCTGGAAGGTGCAACGGATCCGGTAATTATGGACAGGCAAGCGGCGTATGATCTTTTTACTGCCTTCCTCCGTCGCCGGGGGCTAAAAGGCTTAGATTTTGATAAAGAGCTCCCTGCCCTTCTTTCTTATGCCCGGTCTTTTGGTATCTTTACCGATCCCCATTCTATTCACCAGTTATCAGAATGGCGCCGATATGGCGATAAACTTTGGGATCTTACATTAGACGATGATAAAACAGCAAAAAAGCTTTCTAAATTATGGCGTTTAGTGCATAATGAGCTGTTGATGGTACAGGCAGAAAAACGTGCAGCTGAAAGTGCCCGTTTGGCACAAGATCAAAATCGTAATTATGACCCTTCTGCTCCTAATCCGCCCACCGTTTCCACAGTCGAAATATTACCTTCACCCCCACCACCCCCTCCTCCCTCTCCTCCATCTGCTCCTGTTCCCACAATTGGACCGTCTGATTCTCCTCAACCCTCCCCCCCTCTGTCCTCTAATGCCACGGAGCCGTTCCCCGGAGCCCTTTCGGACCTCGCGGAGGCTATGGCAAAACAGAGACGGGAGGCTTGGGCTGCTTTGGCACGCCATGGGGTTGAAAATGGAGACAGCGTCCTTGCCGAGGAAGCACAGGATCATGTCACTACTTCTATGGCTTTTCCTGTTATCTTTCACCCACGACCCGGTGGCGGCTTTAGAGCCGATATTACTCAAATTGATTGGAAGTTATTGGCACAACTTCGGGCCACGGTTGCTCAATTTGGGGTTACTAGTGAACCAGCAAAACAAATGCTTGATTACCTATTCAATTCAATGATTCTTCTGCCTGTAGATATCAAAGGAATTGCCCGGTTAATTTATACCCCTCATCAAAAACTGCCGCCCCTGGCAACTGGGTAATTCAAGACCTTTCAGACAAGGCAAACACCCTCCCCTCAGGTAGTCAAATTTTTATAATAGAGGCCCTTGACAAAATCGGCAATAAAATTAGCGAAAGTCTTAATACCCAATCTCAAGCTCAAATTCAAGCACAAAGCCAAGTTCTGGCAGCCCTTGCACCTCTCCAGGTGGCAGTCGCACAAACTCGCCCTGCAGCCCCAGCAACCCGACTGAAATGTTTTTCCTAATGATCTCCTTGACATTCTCCGACCCTTACTAAAAGGAACCGACCCAGCCACGCCCGTAACTCTCTCTCAAACACAGCTACAAGCCTTTCACGAAATCATGCACTGTGTCACAAGTGGTTTTGTCTCTCGTCGTGATCCTACTCTCCCTCTAGATCTAATCATATGGAACTCGGAGAACCATCTCTTAGCAGCAATTGCCCAATTAAAGAAAACGGGGGACAAGACTCAGGACAGCTTGGTTATTGAATGGCTAACACCACAATTACAACAGCGAAAGTCAATTACAAAGAAATTGGAGCGATTAGCGGCCCTGATACGTAAAGGCCGACTACGAACTGTTGAAATTAGTGGAAAAGAGCCTGAGACCATTTATTTACCCATGGACCATTCTGATTTAGATTGGTTTCTCTTAAACGATAATGACTTAGCCCTTGCCTTGCTAAACGCCCCTTGTAAAGTGCTCACATCAAAAATCAAGCCTAGCACATTAGCATGGCTTGGTCAATGGCAGTGGATTGTTAAACCCCTCAGAAGTGAATCGCCCATTCCGGAATCCATTACAGTTTTTACAGACGCAGGGAAGAGGTCCCGGAGAGCAGCAGCTACATGGAAACAGGGAAAAACTTGGTGTCATCATATTCTCAACGCGACACCTGAAGACAATCTTCAAACCCTTGAACTTTTGGCTGTTATTTGGACTCTTCGTGCGTTCCAACAACCCCTTAATGTTATTTCCGATTCCCTCTATGTAGTGACAGTAACCTCTCGTGTCGAAGATGCTGCTATCAAAGATGTTACTAATCCTAAGACTGGGGAACTCTTTTTATCCCTCAGAAGGGTGATACATGCCAGAGGACATCCCTATTCTGTGCTCCACATTAGAAGTCATAAGTGGGATGTGGGGCTAGGGGAAGGAAACGCAAGGGCTGATAAGTTGGTGGCTATACAACAGCCAGCAGTCATACCTCGCAGTATCGCTGCTAAAGAAAGCCATAATATTTTTCACCAAAATGCTAAAGGATTAGCTAAAGAATTTGATATTCCCATAAATGAAGCTCGTGCCATCATTAGAACGTGTTCTGTCTGTAGCTACCCTCAAGGAGGAGTAGGCTTAAGTATGGGAGTTAACCCTAAAGGACTAGACTCTAATCAAATTTGGCAAATGGATGTTACTCATATACCCCATTTTGGAAAGCTAAAATATGTTCATGTCACTATTGATACATATAGTCATTATATTTGGGCAACTGCTCAGACAGGTGAAAAGGCCATACATGTCGAAAAACACTTAAATAGCTGTATAGCTGTAATGGGAATCCCCAAGGAAATCAAAACGGACAATGGTCCAGCGTACATTAGTGAACGCGTACAAAGATATATGTTATTTTGGGGAATCAAACATACTAAAGGTATTCCCCACAACCCTACCGGTCAGGCAATAGTAGAAAGGGCGAATAACACACTTAAAACATATGTTGCTAAGTATACGGATCTTTCAAGCCCTACAGAAAAATTATTACGTACTTTATTTGTGTTAAATCACCTCTGTATATTTGGAGAGGAAAAACTGCCTCCAGTTATTAAGCATTTTCAAAAAGAGCCAACCCTTATGCCGCCTATTTATGTTCGATACAAAGACCCAGCAACAGGATTATGGCAACCCCCAGCTCCAGTATTATATTGGGGGAGGGGTTATGTTTGTGTTTCTGCCCCAACAGGACCTAGGTGGATCCCTGCCCGGTGGACCCGAGCAACTCAACCGAATGAACAGTCTAGAACTCCGTCGTCGTCATCGTCTACAATTGATACTGCGGCCGTTACTGGAACCGATTGAAAAGCGCTTTGGAGTTCATCTATCCTATTCGACACAAGAGGAGGCAGAGCTCCACCTGTTTTGGGAACTTCACAGAGTACTAGATCGGATTCTGTCCCCCAGTCGTTATTGCTTAGGGTGTTTACAAGAACATCATGCTTGGATAAAAATTAAATGTGCAGGTTGTCATCAGAAAGTTTGGGTATCCCAAGGACAACTGCAGGCACATGGTTGTTGTGTGAACTGTGCCTGGGCCCCTTATGTTAATAATAATCCATACAGAGCATTGTTGGCTGAGGCGGGAATAACTTTTCCCTTAAATGCTCCATTAACATATTCGCTGGTTGAAAATCGTGAGGATTTGAATCTGAGATATTTAAAGTGGCGAGTGGAGAGTATTCTTTGCCAGATTTTTACGGCATTTGACACAGTATTTTTGGAAATTAAGTGTGGCAAAGATGTGGGTATCCCAAGTATGTGGCAGGTTAAACCTGAGGATTGGGATTGTACTTGCCGCCGTTTTCGGCCTCAGCAAAGGAACTTGGGACACTCTAAACAAAATAGAAAAGCGAAAAAACATATGGGTAACTTGGGCTGAACAAGTTAATCAAAGTAGTATATGTCTTGCTTTAGCTACAGCTTCTGATCCCTTTAGAACGTGCTTAGTAGGTGTACCGATGCCAAATATAGACTACACACATTTTAAATTTAATATGTACAAAAATGTCTCTGACATTCAGGAATTTAACATATTAGGCTCAGCACCAGCACAAAATTGTGTTAAATTTGACCCTCATCATAATCAAGATAACCCAATAAATGTTTCCTCTCACAGACCCTATAATGAGACCGCTTATTGCCAGAGCATTACCGAGAAAACCGTTATAACCTCTAACACAGGCTATCTCCCTGGAGGGCAATTTCTTGTTTGCGGTGACAGAGCTTGGCAAGGAATTCCCAGGAGCCCGGAAGGAGGACCCTGTTATATAGGCCATCTGACGATGTTTGCACCTGACATAATGACAGTTCTTAACACCAATCGTACTCATGTACGTCGTAAAAGAGCAACCACTCAATTAAACTCAGAGTGTCAAGATACTGTCACACTTTGGGATCGTCCAGAAGTTGTTTTAGCCAGCCTTTTTGCTCCTGGTGTAGCATCTGCCCAAGCTCTCACGCAATTAAGAAAGTTAGCTTGCTGGACAGGGAAACAAATAAACATCACAACAAAAATTTTGTCAGAATTAGCTATGGACGTAGATGGAGTCCGACACGCAATCCTTCAAAATCGAGCTGCCATAGATTTTTTACTCCTCGCACAAGGTCATGGGTGTGATGAGTTTGAAGGCATGTGCTGCATGAATCTATCGGATCACTCTAATTCCATTCACAAGCAATTAGCACAGTTGAAAGATAATATGCGAAAGTTACAGGAAACAAGTGATCCTTTTACAAATTGGTTAGCATCTTTTGGGTTATCCTCCTGGCTTATTTCCTTAATAGAGAAAATTGTTTTGGTAGTGGTCATAATATTGTTAGCAATTTTGCTTTTACCATGTATCATGCAATGCTTGCAAAGAATGATAACGAATGCTTTTGATCGCAAGATGGCTATGTTGACTATTAAAGAAAACAGGGGAAGTGTAGAGAGCTTGACATCAGAATGGCTAAGCAGAAGAGGCCACGATACCATACAGTTGGTAGAAATGTAGGCCTCAAAGGTACTGCAATCTTGTGGTTAATGTTTGCCTCAGGTTGCTTAAGAGACAGGACATATATCTTGCTGAAACAGCACAACGGTAATGCTTGAGCAAGCTGGAACATGTTGAGCAAGTTGAGACATGTCGAAACAAGAAGTGGTTTGTGGTTTTTGTTACTTGGAAACTTTTGTGTTAAACATAGCGTAACCAATAATCTCGCTGTATCCTAGCAGATAATGTGTCTAACTCTGTAGACTATAAAAGTTGCTGTGCTTTGCTTAATAAACGAGACTTGCTGACCATGAGATCATGAGGCTTGTCTTCTGTGACTCCAACATTTGGCGCCCGAACAGGGACCCTGCTGGACAGGGACCCCGCTGGGACCTGAACTCTTGCTAACCGACGGAGTTGCGTTGGGTGCGGGTCTCGATTCAAAGACGGCTTCTGCAAAACGGGAGTGCTACATCGGTGGACTACTCGTCTCCTGCTTAAGCCCAGAGTGCTGCATCGGCTGGCTCTGCCGCTACGCGCTGCCGACGCCTGGAAGGTGCAACGGATCCGGTAATTATGGACAGGCAAGCGGCGTATGATCTTTTTACTGCCTTCCTCCGTCGCCGGGGGCTAAAAGGCTTAGATTTTGATAAAGAGCTCCCTGCCCTTCTTTCTTATGCCCGGTCTTTTGGTATCTTTGCCGATCCCCATTCTATTCACCAGTTATCAGAATGGCGCCGATATGGCGATAAACTTTGGGATCTTACATTAGACGATGATAAAACAGCAAAAAAGTTTTCTAAATTATGGCGTTTAGTGCATAATGAGCTGTTGATGGTACAGGCAGAAAAACGTGCAGCTGAAAGTGCCCGTTTGGCACAAGATCAAAATCGTAATTATGACCCTTCTGCTCCTAATCCGCCCACCGTTTCCACAGTTGAAATATTACCTTCACCCCCACCACCCCCTCCTCCCTCTCCTCCATCTGCTCCTGTTCCCGCAACTGGACCGTCTGATTCTCCACAACCCACCCCCCCACTGTCCTCTAATGCCACGGAGCCGTTCCCCGGAGCCCTTTCGAACCTGGGAGGCTATGGCAAAACAGAGGCGGGAGGCTTGGGCTGCTTTGGCACGCCATGGGGTTGAAAATGGAGACAGCATCCTTGCAGAGGGGAACAGGATCATGTCACTACTTCTATGGCTTTTCCTGTTATCTTTCACCCACGACCCGGTGGCGGCTTTAGAGCCGATATTACTCAAATTGATTGGAAGTTATTGGCACAACTTTGGGCCACGGTTGCTCAATTTGGGGTTTCTCGTGAACCAGCAAAACAAATGCTTGATTACCTATTCAATTCAATGATTCTTCTGCCTGTAGATATCAAAGGAATTGCCCGGTTAATTTATACCCCTCATCAAAAGCTGCCGCCCCTGGCAACTGGGTAGTTCAAGACCTTTTAGACAAGGCAAACACCCTCCCCTCAGGTAGTCAAATTTTTATAATAGAGGCCCTTGACAAAATCGGCAATAAAATTAGCGAAAGTCTTAATACCCAATCTCAAGCTCAAATTCAAGCGCAAAGCCAAGTTCTGGCAGCCCTTGCACCTCTCCAGGCGGCAGTCGCACAAACTCGCCCTGCAGCCCCAGCAACCCGAAGGAAATGTTTTTGCCTAATGATGCTCCTTTTAATATTAGACCCTTACTAAAAGGAACCGACCCAGCCACGCCCCGTAACTCTCTCTCAAACACAGCTACAAGCCTTTCACGAAATCATGCATTGTGTCACAAGTGGTTTTGTCTCCCGTCGTGATCCTACTCTCCCTCTAGATCTAATCATATGGAACTCGGAGGACCATCTCTTAGCAGCAATTGCCCAATTAAGGAAAACGGGGGACAAGACTCAGGACACCTTGGTTATTGAATGGCTAACAGCAAAAGTCAATTACAAAGAAATTGGAGCGATTAGCGGCCCTGATACGTAAAGGCCGACTACGAACTGTTGAAATTAGTGGAAAAGAGCCTGAGACCATTTATTTACCCATGGACCATTCTGATTTAGATTGGTTTCTCTTAAACGATAATGACTTAGCCCTTGCCTTGCTAAACGCCCCTTGTAAAGTGCTCACATCAAAAAACAAGCCTAGCACATTAGCATGGCTCGGTCAATGGCAGTGGATTGTTAAACCCCTCAGAAGTGAATCGCCCATTCCGGAAGCCATTACAGTTTTTACAGACGCAGGGAAGAGGTCCCGAAGAGCAGCAGCTACATGGAAACAGGGAAAAACTTGGTGTCATCATATTCTCAACGCGACACCTGAAGACAATCTTCAAACCCTTGAACTTTTGGCTGTTATTTGGACTCTTCATGCATTCCAACAACCCCTTAATGTTATTTCCGATTCCCTATATGTAGTGACAGTAACCTCTCGTGTCGAAGATGCTGCTATCAAAGATGTTACTAATCCTAGACTTGGGGAACTCTTTTTATCCCTCAGAAGGGTGATATATGCCAGAGCACATCCCTATTCTGTGCTCCACATTAGAAGTCATAAGTGGGATGTGGGGCTAGGGGAAGGAAACGCAAGGGCTGATAAGTTGGTGGCTAAACAACAGCCAGCAGTCATACCTCGCAGTATCGCTGCTAAAGAAAGCCATAATATTTTTCACCAAAATGCTAAAGGATTAGCTAAAGAATTTGATATTCCCATAAATGAAGCTCGTGCCATCATTAGAACGTGTTCTGTCTGTAGCTACCCTCAAGGAGGAGTAGGCTTAAGCATGGGAGTTAACCCTAAAGGACTAGACTCTAATCAAATTTGGCAAATGGATGTTACTCATATACCCCATTTTGGAAAGCTAAAATATGTTCATGTCACTATTGATACATATAGTCATTATATTTGGGCAACTGCTCAGACAGGTGAAAAGGCCATACATGTCGAAAAACACTTAAATAGCTGTATAGCTGTAATGGGAATCCCCAAGGAAATCAAAACTGACAATGGTCCAGCGTACATTAGTGAACGCGTACAAAGATATATGTTATTTTGGGGAATCAAGCATACTAAAGGTATTCCCCACAACCCTACCGGTCAGGCAATAGTAGAAAGGGCGAATAACACACTTAAAACATATGTTGCTAAGTATACGGATCTTTCAAGCCCTACAGAAAAATTATTACGTACTTTATTTGTGTTAAATCACCTCTGTATATTTGGAGAGGAAAAACTGCCTCCAGTTATTAAGCATTTTCAAAAAGAGCCAACCCCTATGCCGCCTATTTATGTTCGATACAAAGACCCAGCAACAGGATTATGGCAACCCCCAGCTCCAGTATTATATTGGGGGAGGGGTTATGTTTGTGTTTCTGCCCCAACAAGGACACAGGTGGATCCCTGCCCGGTGGACCCGAGCAACTCAACCGAATGAACAGTCCAGAACTCCGTCGTCATCATCGTCTACAACTGATACTGCGGCCGTTACTGGAACCAATTGAAGCTGGAGTTCGTCTATCCTATTCGACACAAGAGGAGGCAGAGCTCCACCTGTCTTTGGGGAAACTCACAGAGTACTAGATCGGATTCTGTCCCCGTCGTTATTGCTTAGGGTGTTTACAAGAACATCATGCTTGGATAAAAATTAAATGTGCAGGTTGTCATCAGAAAGTTTGGGTATCCCAAGGACAACTGCAGGCACATGGTTGTTGTGTGAACTATGCCTGGGCCCCTTATGTTAATAATAATCCATATAGAGCATTGTTGGCTGAGGCGGGAATAACTTTTCCCTTAAATGCTCCATTAACATATTCGCTGGTTGAAAATCGTGAGGATTTGAATCTGAGATATTTAAAGTGGCGAGTGGAGAGTATTCTTTGCCAGATTTTTACGGCATTTTACACAGTATTTTTGGAAATTAAGTGTGGCAAAGATGTGGGTATCCCAAGTATGTGGCAGGTTAAACCTGAGGTTTGGGATCGTACTTGCCGCCGTTTTCGGCCTCAGCAAAGGAACTTGGGACACTCTAAACAAAATGGAAAAGCGAAAAAACATATGGGTAACTTGGGCTGAACAAGTTAATCAAAGTAGTATATGTCTTGCTTTAGCTACAGCTTCTGATCCCTTTAGAACGTGCTTAGTAGGTGTACCGATGCCAAATATAAACTACACACTTTTTAAATTTAATATGTACAAAAATGTCTCCGACATTCAGGAATTTAACATATTAGGCTCAGCACCAGCACAAAATTGTGTTAAATTTAACCCTCATCATGATCAAGATAACCCAATAAATGTTTCCTCTCACAGACCCTATAATGAGACCGCTTATTGCCAGAGCATTACCGAGAAAACCGTTATAACCTCCAACACAGTCTATCTCCCTGGAGGACAATTTCTTATTTGCGGTGACAGAGCTTGGCAAGGAATTCCCAGGAGCCCGGTAGGAGGACCCTGTTATATAGGCCATCTGACGATGTTTGCACCTGACATAATGACAGTTCTTAACACCAATCGTACTCATGTACGTCGTAAAAGAGCAACCACTCAATTAAACTCAGAGTGTCAAGATACTGTCACACTTTGGGATCATCCAGAAGTTGTTTTAGCCAGCCTTTTTGCTCCTGGTGTAGCATCTGCCCAAGCTCTCACGCAATTAAGAAAGTTAGCTTGCTGGACAGGGAAACAAATAAACATCACAACAAAAATTTTGTCAGAATTAGCTATGGACGTAGATGGAGTCCGACACGCAATCCTTCAAAATCGAGCTGCCATAGATTTTTTACTCCTCGCACAAGGTCATGGGTGTGATGAGTTTGAAGGCATGTGCTGCATGAATCTATCGGATCACTCTAATTCCATTCACAAGCAATTAGCACAGTTGAAAGATAATATGCGAAAGTTACAGGAAACAAGTGATCCTTTTACAAATTGGTTAGCATCTTTTGGGTTATCCTCCTGGCTTATCTCCTTAATAGAGAAAATTGTTTTGGTAGTGCTCATAATATTGTTAGCAATTTTGCTTTT